CTGACTCCTAAACCCCAAACCCTAAACGCCCCAAAAACGCCTCCCCTCTCAAAAACCCCTAGACACTAAGCACTGAACCCTAAACCCTAAACCTTAAACCTAAACCCGGGAGAAGAAGTTTTCTTGGCTTACTTCTGAACCGCTCCTAAAACTTAAACTGTTAGCCTAGACATTATAGTTCATATAGAAACTAGTTCATATAGTTTCCCAAAACGTTAAAGTCCTAAGAGCCAACCAAAAGAACGCCACGTTTTGGCCCTAAACCCTAAACCCTAAACACTAAACCCTAAAACCTAAAACCCTGAAGCCCTGAAGCCCTGAACACCAAAAACCCGTTGCAAGAGGACCTAAACCCTAAACCCTGAACCCCTAAACCCTAAACCCTACACCCCTAAACCCTAAACTCTAAACCGAAGGGCCTTGCCTCGGCAAGCGCTGCCTCGAGCTGTGCCTGAGGACGGGCAAAGGCGCGGCTCACTCGACCCCAGGAGTGTAGGGTTTTGGGTCTAGGGCTGAGGGCTTAGGGTCTAGGGCTTAGGGTCTAGGGTTTTAGGATTTAGGGTTTAGGGTTCTATTGGGATTTTTGGTTGTTTTAGAAGGGTTTCTAGGGTTTGTAGGGTTCTATGATGCTTGGTCATCGGGTTCTATAGAGTCTTGCAATGGTTTAGGAGCGCTTCCTTCAAGCTTGAATGAGACTATATAGGGTGTTGGTGGGCTTTGTATCTCAAACCGCCCTATAAACGAATTATTAACCAAAAAACATCCGAACCCTGAACCCTACATACTGAACCGTAAAAGCTAAGCATGGAAAGCCATGCTTAGCGTAAGGGCAAGTGCCTTTATGGGCTGCTCTAAGGGCTTAACGTTCAAGCGCTTGGCAGCATGTGGGGTTTGGGTTTTAGGACGCAAGCTTCTCCAGTTTTTGGCGGCGTGTTTTATTAATTATTGTGAGTAGCCCCATGATCGAACCTATATACCTTCACCAAGACCCCTGCTCGCCCAAGTACCCTCAACCCTAAACCCTGAACCCTAACCTCCCTAAACCCTGAAGCTTCGACCATTTACAGGCCAATCCTGGCAACACACCTGCCCTGCCCTGCCCTGCCCTGCCCTGCCCTGCCCTGCCCTGCCCTGCCCTGCCCTGCCCCGCCCCGCCCCGCCCCGCCCTGCCCAGCCGTGGCCATGCCCTGTGCTGGTCTGTTTTGCCCTGCCGCCCTGCCCTGCCCTGCCCTGCCCTGCCCTGCCCTGCCCTGCCCTGCCCTGCCCCGCCCCGCCCCAGCCGTGGCCGTGCCCTGTGCTGGTCTGTTTTGCCCT